AGATAATGTAGCGAGTGAGGAATCGCCCTCCTGCTGGAAATTCCCACCCCGAACTTCCTGGAGAGAGCCAAGAGTTACGAACATCTTTTCAAAGAAGATAGCCTCTTAGTAGACTCTCGGAAATTTCATAGAGTTCCGAAAAGAAATGTGGCCGTCCTTATGATGGACAAGCGTTCACGCAAAATTTGTCGCTCCACAAAAAACACCGTGATAAAATCATTGACGTCCCTGGCGTTTAAAGCCTAAATAATGATCAAGAGCAAAGGTTATTTCATGTGGGAAGTACTCTTACCCATGCCTGCCGACTGTGAGAACGCCTCCAGTGGATATCTCTTCAGAAAAGACCTCATAATCCGTACATGCTAAGCAAACATCAGTATACGAGGTTCCACCTCGAATTTTAGGAGAACACTTCGCCGCCTATCTTGTCTGGTATGGTCAGATATTCAGTGCTGCCTCTGACGACCTCAACAGGGGGATGGAGTTTATATAATACGAGACCGAAAAACCTTTATCTCCGTCCCCAACTGTCTGGGTGTAGAGGGCTAGAAAGTGCCGGTTATTTTGACCGATCGTAAACCAACCAGCTGGAAGTGTGGAAAGACTAGTCAACTCTTTCTTTCTTCCCAGAGAAGAAGGCCACTGGAATTCTGTCTCCCACCGACCCAAAAAAACCCTCTGGTTGGGTTTGTTATTTCCGTCTCGCCTATAAGGGGCATGCCAAAGATTGGTACCGGTGTACTAAAAACCCCGGCCCGGCCTCTATTTCTCGAAATGCGCGGTCGCGGAAAAGGAAATGGGGTATGGCTTGTCGTTGGCAAGACCAGAGGGAAGCTTGACGATAATGTCTTATTAAAGCAAAACTGTTCAGGAAGGCTCCCTTTTTTGGTTCTCCTCTCCTTATATAGATCTTTGAAGTTAACATTCCCCTCTGATATTAGTGACCTGTCTCTTATTGGAACTATCAAAATAGGGATGGGTCAAGGAGGAGGCCCACCGTTTACTCCGAGACGAATGCTCCTTCTTAAGTAAATAAAGATGACCTCTCAAACTCGTCTTACAGCCGACGGGTGGCCTCTCCGGCGTCCAGGCGTTATTGAGGGGTTCGTTCAAGAAGGTATGATTTGCGAACTCGGTTTACAAAAGCAGACGTCTCGCTCTATATGGCCTTGGGCGCCTGGGTTGAAATGCTTCAATAACGATGTGGACACACACACCTAGCTGATTATGCGAAGGGCCCTCTGACTCGGCAAAAAGCTTTCTTCAGCGGACTTGGGAAATTATACCAACAGCGTCCGCTGCGGTGAGTCGGTGGAGACACTGGGCCATGCCTTCTACCACTGCAAGGTCATAGTCCCGTTGTGCAAGTCTGTTGGATACATCATGGTTCGCATGGTGTACGGAAAATCTTTGTCCTTGAGGCTAGTTCTACTTCTTGCAATTTGGTAAGGTCGTCTTGTGCTTGTTAGATGTTATGTGAGTCGTGATATGGACGACGCAGTAGAAGGAATTATATGGCAACGAGAAGTTTACGTCTTCCCAACTGGTTTTATTCTTTAAGTATCAGCTTAAAGTCAAGTTCAAGAGAGAAAGGCGACGTCTCCCTCCATCAGAATTTGGTAAAAGGTGGGTGAGTCATGCGCGCATATGTCAAGTGAGAGGAACCGACTTAGATTGACATTTTGATGCCAGTTAGGCAACTGGATATTGGGAGCCCTGTATTAACATTGGCAACCAAACCCAAACTAGTTTACTTTAGGCTTGTTTTGTTTTTGTTTTTTTTTACGCCAACTTCATTTAGCTGGGGGTGTATGCCCATTGGCCCCTTTTATTTTGCCCTCACATTCTTTAGTTTAATTCCTCATCCTCTCCCCCGTTAGGTGATCAGTAATATCAGTTCTATGGTAGATGCAATGCATTTTTCATTTTTCGAGTGTGTTCTTTCGTAATTGCTGCGTGTCTGAATGAGTGTGTAGTTGTATGTATTGTTGATCGAATTATTGGTTTTTAATTCATCCAAGTCCCACATTAACTAATATTTCTGTCACAATTAAGAATTGTGGGGTTTTTATTACTAACACCATTTTGTTTAGTTTCTTTGGTTATGCATATTGTAAATATTCAATGTGGTTTTTATTTTAAAATGTTGTTATTCTATTCCCCAACCACCGCAGACAAATTGTACATATGGAGACTATTTAGAACTTCATAGAGACTTTGGGGTATTATGGTGGCTGTAGTAGGAATGGTAAGTAGAATGTGGTATTTTGGTGCAAGGAATATTGTAGACACTATTTACATTATTCGGACTATTGTCCTCATCTTTGTTGCCGTATTTATCACAACGTTTCGGCCGTTGTGCACTCCGGCCTTCTTCAGGTGGTTGGAATGTCGAACTGGACCCTTTATTTCGCTGACTGGAGTAGACTGTTCTAGTTATACGTGCCATGTTTAATGGATGTCAGTTATTAGTTATCTCCTGTTAATTCCCCTCTCCAAGTTCTCCATCGCCTTAGCAGGTATTGAACACTCTTTCGGACACATGGCACAGTGGATAAAGGCGTTAGTTAGATCCAGTGACAGGATATAGACAGATAATGAATATTGTATAGTTTGTTTGGGTCATCCTGGTTAGCTAAGTTTAAGATAAGACGGGTGATGGCCAGCATTCCCCCATCGCTACTTTTGGCCTTACGCCACATTTTTTTGTATTTAAACAAAAATAAATATCATTTGTCAGATAAAGCTCCTACTTAGAGTTGTTGGTATATTACAATTATGTTGAGGACTAGAATTAGAATCCTGAAAATTGTGTGTCCATTTTATTTTTTTATTGCTGAATTGTACTATTATACATTCATTGCAGTTAAAGAAGAGCAGGTATTACTATTTGACCGACTTTTGTATACATTTTTGAGCGTTTATTTTTCAAAATTGTAAGTAGAAAGTTTATGGAGATATTTGTATAAGTCTTGACTTGCCATAATTATCCACTTTTGAAATTTTAGCGTCACTATTGAATGCAATTTCAACATATCGCATAAACGAATCATTTTGAAAATGGATTCATTACTGATTATCTCCCTTGTTTCTGCTCTCTTTCAGTGCTCAAAGGAGAGCGAAATTTACACGAGGCGGCGCGTCGCAACAATTTAGCCAAAGTGAAGAAACTGATCAATGAAAAAGTGGACGTGGATTGCCGAAATAATGTAAGTGCCTCTTTTCCTTTGTCCCCAGCAGCCGACTTTCTCTTCCTTTTATTTTGCCCACTAGCTAGTTTCAAATGAAAGGTCGAGAAAAGTTTTAACAAGAAATAATAACCGTTAACAACAACACTGAGTTCAAAGCGCGTCTCCCCTGATTTGCGTTTTCTCAATGCAGATCCAAATATACTTTCACGCAAAAGTGTATTTAGAGATTCTTTGGCTGCAACCAAAACTTTATTTTATTCCATAGTATTCGGAAAAACTACCCTGTTATTTGAGTTCCGCTAAAATCATTTAAAATAATAAAAATTTAAATGAATCTCCTACTTAAGATAAATTGAACAGAAAAAGAACTGTATTTCCTTAGCTTACATCACGACGTTACAAGAGGCTTTTTAGATATTTTTTTTTTATCATATAACCCCATGCATGGCAGAAAAGCCACTAAGACACAATGAATTACTGAGTGTAAAAAATAAGAAAAAAGAAACATTAACAAGGAATGAGAACAATAGAAGAGAAATCAAGAAAACAGTAGATATGATCAAAGTTGGTTGGAAAGGATGGGACCGGAAGGGATTACCACAAGCGAGAAGTGCGAGAAAAGAAACTGTTAGCATAGGACTTACTGTTACATCTAGCCAATTCAACTATGAATTGATAAAACCTTGCCGCCCATCTAGTACTACGCTTAAATTCATCAAATCCAACTATTATAGAGAAAAGTTCATCCGAACAATTACCATGAAAGCATTTATAAAAAAAAAATAATAAAAGCACAGGGAAGCTACCTTACAGCCGTGGGAAAGTGACTGAAACTAAGATGCTAGGTCAGAACCAATAAGATTGCAGATTCTTCTTTGGATCTTATCAAGAATCTCCCAAAATACAGCAGAAGCATCGGACCATATGTAGCAGCAATATTCAAAGCATGGACGAATGACAGACTTATAAATATGTAAGATAGATTCAGGAGAGAAAATTCTCTAGCACGACATATTGAACCAACTTTCTTAGCAACAGACCTAGCAATTCATTCAAAATAATCTTTCCACTTCATGCTAGACGAGAATGTAAGCCCGAGTAAGCAAACCAGTCACTTCTATGGAGCTTAATATCAGCAATACGAATAAGAGTCAGAAAGGGGACTTTCTGGCGATTGTTAGAGACAAGTTTCGTTTTGAAGGCGTTAAAATTAACAAGTCATTCCTTGCCCCATTTAACAACAGAATTTAAGTTATTTTTTAGATCAGCTGACAATTTGAACTTATCGAACTGATCAGATTTACTATCGAGATAGGAGTAAATGGACGCTCATGTTTAAAATCAAACTTGGTTGAACAGTAATTGTATGATTTCTTTACTCCATTGTCAAGCGATGTGGATGCGCAAGGAGCCAATATTAGCATATATGAAATCCTTAATTTTTTATATATTCACTGAGATAATTTTTGCATGAAGGTTTTTATGAGATAATATGAATATAAGTTGTCGTTGTGATATGTTTAAAAAGTATAAGTATATTGCGATAAGTATAAAACAATTGTTAACTGGGGCAAGAAATGGCTTGTAAATTTTAACGCCTCCAAAACGGAACTACTATCTTTTAGTCATCATAGAGAACAGTTTTTATCTTGCAACAGTATGGCTGATGCTAATTTCGGATACTGATCTTTTGTGATAGATTCAGGGTACGTGTCATCATTGCTTTCATTCCAATTCCAGATCATTTTTGGATCTTGAATCTTATTTCTCCGAACTTCTCACTGATGGAACTATCTTTCAGTTTCGCAGTCTATCTCTATCACTCTGTGTCTCTCTCACATTCACTCTCCCAGAATTCCTGACTGTATCTCTTTCACTCACTCAAATTCATTCTCTCTCTACCACTTTCAGTCTATCTACCTCACACTCATCCTCCCTCTCAATTTGTCTACCTCATTCTCTCTCTCTTTCTCCTCTCTCACTCACAGTCTGTCTCCATCACTTCCTGTCTCTCTCGCATTCACGCTCTCAAAATTCCTTAGTGTATCTCTCTCACTCTCTCAAATTCATTCTCTCTCTACCACTTTCAGTCTATCTTCCTAACTTTCTGTCTCTCACTTTCACTCCCTCATTCTATATAGTATCCGTCTACCACTGTGCCCCTTTCTTAAGTTCCTTCTTTCCTTCATTTTTTGTACTTCTTTGCATACCATTCTCTCTTTCTCTCCCCCACCCCTCTCTCTCTCTAGGCATATATATATATATATATATATATTCTGACCTGTTCTCGCTCTTTCTCTATCATTGAGCGATTTCAATTACATTGCATACGAAATAATCATCAATTGTGCGTTTATTCCCGTCTGATTTAATGACTTTTCAATACACAGAACCTGCATTTGATTGGCGTGTGTGGCAACCGTTGTAATTGTTGAAAAAATCCTGTTAGATGCTTTATTGACTGCTTTGGGGTTCCTATTGTTTGCTCCATTCCATTCATCCTTTTGTTCTTCATATTCAATCACTGACATTTCCGTGATCAATAGGCTCTTATCAATTCCGTAACAGAACACATTTCATTTGGTTCCCATAAATTTTCATCCGAAACCTGGTCCCTTTCGTCATCATCATTGCTACTGAATCTACCAGTGTTGTATAATTGACTTTTTTTCTCTCTTGACTCCTTGTCGCTTAAAGTATTCATCAGCCTTTTTGTTATGCTGTAAAAAAGTAAATGATCCGGAAGATCGCCTCTTGTCAAAAAGTTGATTGTTGCGGGTTGCTGCTCTGACGAAGACAATCGTCAGTAATTCTAAACTTGTTTTTCTTCGTTTCAATAAAGCTTTTTTATCACTACTTCTTTAGTTGACTATCCTTCAATCATTAAATGATGTGGAGTTGAAACAAAGGAGTACCTACAAGCAGAGATTTATTACCAGCCGCTCCGATTTCTTCAATAACAATTAGCTCACATAAATGTTATTTGGTAGCAAAATGGCTACGACCAAATGAAGCGATTGATGTTACCTATTACTAATACATCTTTTTAACATGATAGGATTTATCGCCGATTTTAAAGCCTAGACGAATTAGAGTCTATCTATCTATCTATCTATCTATCTATCTATCTATCTATCTATCTATAAACGGACATATCAGGTCATCCCATAAGTTCTGTCCGAATTTTGAATCAAGAAAACAAGTGAGCAATTGATACATTTAATTACAGATTCAATCAACAATGTATTTTCCCTGATTATCTATGACTTCCTTCCATCTATTAACAAGCTTACTAATTCCATTACTGTAAAATTCTTTTGGCTTTGATTCGAAGAACTCACAAATGTCAGTTTTACCCTCTTCCTGTGTTACAAAAGCTGTTTCTTCCAAATGATTCTGTAAGCTACGAAACAAATGGTAGTCTGAAGGAGCAAGATCTGGAGAATAAGGTGGATGAGGAATTTTCTCCCAACCAAGTTCTTCGATCTTTTGTGACGTGATTCTTGCTGTGTGGGGTCGCGCATTGTCCTGATGAGACATCACCTCTTTTCGATTCACTAGAGCAGGTCTTTTTTCCTCAAAGCTTGGTTCAAACGCTCTAATTGTTGACAGTATATTTGAGCATTAATTGTTGAATTATGTGGTAAGAATTCAAAGTGGATTATTCCTTGGCGATCCCACCAGATTGAAAGAAGAACCTTTTGCCCATGAAGTTCCCTTCTCGGCTGTGGCTGGAGTCCTTCCTCTTTACCAAGCCCCTGTCTACGACGCTTAACATTTCGATAAAAGATTCATTTTTCGTCGCCAGTAACAAGTCTATCCAAAAAAGGTGAAACAAGTTGGCGAGAATGGAGAGAAGAGCAGATGTCAACTCGGGATTTGAGGTTGTTTTCAGACAATTCATGAGGCACCCATTTTCCAAGTTTAGGAACTTTTCCAAGTTGTTGAAGATGACGATAAACAGTTGTATGGTTTGAACTGAGAACCACTGCAAATTCCTCTACTGATAAAGCAAGATTTTCTTCAAGGGCTGCTTCAAGAAGCTTTTCATCAAACTCAACTGGACGTCCGGTTCGATCTTCATCTTCAAGAGTGAAATCTCCACCTCTGAATTTTGAAAACCATCTTCTGCAAGTTCTTTCATTCACACATTCCTCTCCATAAACTGAGTGAATGTTTCTAGCCGATTCGGTTGCTGAGTTTCTTTTCTTGAACTCATAAAGCATTATGTGCCTCAAATGATTCTTGGGTACTTCCATGTTAGCAGGGCTTTAATCAAACAAAATTTTATTTTATTTTTCTCTGAAATAAAATTTGATCAGTTTAAATGCATCTAAACATAAAAATAATGTTCAGCTCCATTAGACATTATAAAATACTCTTTAAATTTCGTTCATTTTAACAAAAAGTTAAAATTCGGACAGAACTTTTGGGATGAATTGATATCTATCCACGTCTTTCTCTATTCTTCTCCCTTCAAATAAAAAAAGAGAATGAAGTAGTAAAGACTGGACAACTGCTGCGAAACGGAAGTTCGCTAGTCCAAGGTGTAGTTATTGTGACTAGAAATCTACCAAAACAAGAAAGGCTCCACGCATACCTTCCACTATAAAAAAAAAAAGTAAAATGAACGTCGGAAAATAAATAAAATAATTTTGACCAATCAAAAGAACAAAGTTATTTTTTGATGTTAGCTAAGGTAATCAGCAGGAACACTGGGCTATATGTGGCAGCAATATTTTAAGCATGGACGAATGGAAGACTTATAAATATGTAAGATAAATTGTCTCGCACGTCAGAGTGAACCAATTTTCTTCGCAGCTGATCTGGCAATGGATTCAATGTAGTCTCTCTACTTCATGTCTTTTGAGAACGTTAGCCAGAAAAGGTGCAAAGAGTCACTTTTCTGGAGGTTAGCATCAGCCATACTGATGAAAGGCACAGAAGGCTCACTTAGATGATTAATGGAGGTGTTAAAATTAACATGCCATCTGGTCAACCGTTAGATTTGATCACAACTGCATCGAGAACAATGTAAAGATACCAATTGGATGCAGGTTGGTAATGTAAATATTAAAGACTTTTTTCCTCGTCAGATTCTTTTTTCGAAGAGTCTGTTGATTATTTCTGCCGTTCTATGTAAAAACTTAATGAAATTTAACTGACCGTTATCGAAGATTTTGATACATGCGGTTAATATATTATTTAACCCCTTGTTTATTAAAATTATTTTTCTTTTCTTTTTACAGCTGGACAGGACTGCCCTACACTGGGCGGCTGCCGAGGGAAATATTGACATTATTCAACTGCTTCTGGACAATGGAACCGACGTGGAAGTCAGAGATAAGGTCAGTCTGAAATTGACAAACAAGTCAGTTTTGAACTTAATCTCTAGCTTCGGCTTTCGACGATCTTTGCGTCTGTCTGAAACCTTTCATGTGCCACACCCATTAAAGACGTTGGCAATCATGGCTCTCCAGAACCTCTTGTCTCCCCTTAGATTAAATAAAGAGTAAAGTTCGAAATTGTCTAAAGATTACCCAGATTGAGAATCACCTGATGACACAACGGCTAAAATGTCATAATATGATAAGGATAATTGTCCTCTTGTAAGTAATGTAAAAAAAAAAATGATTTCAAAGTTAAACAAGCAATGGTCAGCAAGATTGCCTATAAATGTGTCATCTGGTTCAAATTTAATCTTTGTCGTTAAGGTTCATTTTGTCGGATCAATAGAATACAATTTGTTTTGTGATATATTTTTATTATATCGTGCGTTGGGTGTGTCGTGTAGTTTAATCTGTACTGGAGAATTTTCGATCGAAAACAATGGGAGCACCCATGAGGATTCTTTGCCAACGTCTTTATAGACATTTATTTTCATTAAATAGAAATTTTCTTTTTTTTCCCGCAAATGGGCCAGCACAGCCGGGTAACAATGCTATAAAAATACAGCCGTGGAATTGTTAATGTAGAATTTTAGAAAAGAAATTAACAGAAAATGAATGAAAGTAATCAGTTTTACATAACACCACCTTTACTAGATACGACGAATACAGGAAAATCTCTCTCGTCATTGGCTCTTTCCACCTGCTTCTTTTGCCTTCAATATGTCCTGTGAGTGTTAAATTCACCAGGCCGTCTTTGATGAGACGGTCTATAATGTAACAATTTTAACTGTTCATTAAGAAATTTTCCTGTTTCTTAATACGGTACTTATCCTTTGGAAGGCCTCTTCCACTATATCAATGCTGCTTCGGATCTCGGGGCACCATTTTATATTGACTTTCCACAGTAATAATATACGATTCTATAGAAGCCGAAAAGTTTGTGTATAATTAAGGATAATTCCCAGACATTCAATTTACAGCCCACAAAACTATACATTGATAGAGAGAATATTATAAATACATACATTTATATACCCAAGTAGACAGAAATAGATAAGTAAAATGAGGTTATATACATATTTAAAATTTCAGATTTTAAAACATTTATATTGCTTTAATACTCTACATTATTCAAGTGGAATATACTATAATGTTCCAATAATGTTATCAGTAGTAATTTTTAAACTAAAAATACAAACAGTATATTCTCTAATTGATATTCGTGCAAGAAGGTTATCATCATAGCAAAAGTAAAGAATTGACAAATTCGCAAAAATAACTAATTGTTAAACCCTGGAAAAAGGTAAATGTTACAAGAAAATCTCAGACATCCTGAATATTGCATTTATTATCATTAGTTCATTCATATACAAGGAATAAAAAACTCAAAACTAGACAAAGATGTATCTTCTCACCGGATGTATTCAACATATATTTATATACACATATAGACAGATAGCATAGATAATTAAAACGAGATTATATACATATTTTCTCGTTTATAATTATTTAGACAAAGATGTCTCTTCTCACTGGATGCATTCAACATAAATTATATACCCACGTCGACAGATATCATAGATAAGTAAAATGTGATTATATACATATTTTCTAGTTTATAGCTATCTAGATAAAGATGTCTTTTCTCATCGGATGTATTCAATATTTAACTAGACTATCCTAAGACAAGATATCTTACTAGCATTCATTATTTGTGGACACAATCTGATATAAGATATGCAAACGACAGTGTTGTTTGCATACTCAGAAAGAAAACAAGTACCCCTATAAAAGGTACTACAGGGGAGCAGGTATGAAATAACTATGAATTGTAAGGAGACAGAATGTCTAGTTCTCAGTAAGTGGAACATCCCATGGATGGAGTTTGAGTAGCGGGGAAGTTTTGAATAAAATGGGAAAACTAAGAAGACATACTTACAATCAGAAAGAGAGCTGATTTTTCAATGACGCTTAACAAGGAAAGAGAGCTTGTAGAATTTGACTGTCACAGGTTTTGTTAAAAGCAAGAGGGACAGAGGAAAGCATAACGCACAAGTTTGAGTGAATGGACCGCAGAACAGGATATGGGACGAATAAGACGGAGTGTATGGTCGTCAGTGAGATGATGAGCCCGAAATGCGATTCGAAGGTCGCGAACACTAGAATCAAGCAGACGCGGAAGTTTAAATAACTGGGAAACGATCTGACAGAGGACGGTAAGTGCGACACTGAGATCCGTAGGCGTATTGGGATGGCCAAGGAGACATTCCAAAAGTTGGGTAGAGTATTGCGAGACAGGAGGATATCTTTGGTTACAAAGAAAAAAATACTGAACTGTTACGTGACATATGTCCTTCTTTACGGCAGCGAATGTTATATGATTTCTTCAAAGATGAAGAAGAGACTCGAGGCGACAGAGATGTGGTTCTACAGAAGGATGCTAAGGATATCATGGACCGAGCGTGTGAGCAATGATTTGAGGTCTTAGAGAGGTTGAAAACAAGGAGGAGGCTTATATTTAATATTAGGAAGAGGCAGCTGAAATTTCTGGGACACATAATGAGGAAGGAGGGCCGGGAGAATCTGATACTCACAGGTCGAATAGAGGGAAAGAGAGCAAGGGAAAACAACGCGTGTCATACCTGGTGGCCTTAAGCAAGTGGATGACAGAACGTTGTCTGGGGGAGGAAGCAGAGGACAGGAACTTTTGAGAGCTGCAAGAGGTAGAGAGAGGTGGAGAGCAATGATCGCCTACGTCCTGAAACGACATGGCACATAAAAAGAAAAAAAGAAGTAAAACGTTAAACATTGATATGACCTACAAAGAACGGGAAGTTGTGAAGAGCGATACTCGCCCACGTCCTGAAGGGCCAAGGCACAGACAAGACGAGGCTTAACTTGGTGTAGCACTAGGCTACGAAATTGCATCGCTGTAAAAGAATGGAATACACTTCTATCGAATGGTCGGCGAAACCAACGTAGAAACACTCGCATCTCCATCACGCGACCAAATATTTTGTAACTGCTGCGTATCTACACATCTCGTTGAAACGCCGTTCGATCACGGAAGTTAAACAACGTCGTGCCTGGTTATTACCTAGATGGGTGACAGCTTGGAAATACCAGGTGCTGTAAGCTTGGATATGCGGGTGATATAATGGGCTTACTTCTATATCACTTTGAAACACCGATTCTGATACGATCACCGAAGTTAAGCAACGCCGTGACTGGTCAGTGCCTAGATGGGTGACCGCTTCGGAATACCAGGTGATGTAAACTTGGATGTACGGATGGCATAATGGGATTACTGTCATATCACTTTGAAACACGGGTTCTGATAAGTTCACTGAAGTTAAGCAACGCCGAGTCAGGTCAGTACCTAGATGGGTGACCGCTTTGGAATACCAGGTGATGTAAACTTGGATGTGCGAGTGGCATGATGGGCTTACAGCTATATCACTTCGATAACGGCTCGGAATTTTAAATCTGGGAGCCAAGTTCCAATTCCAATTGGGTTCGTTATATTCACCTACGCGCAAATAATCTTGGGAAAGTTATGAATCAACTTCATTTTCCCCAGCTATGGGTTAATTAGTTAGATTTAAATCATTATTATCTAAAGAGCAAACTTCTTAAAATATTTTCTGGGTTTAAATATTATGCAAAGTTTGATAAACCGTAAAACAAACAAATCAAATGTTTAGAGCCTTATATATATATATATATATATATATATATATATATATATATATATATATATAGGTCTGATGAATTGATCGTGATTACGATTCCAGTGTAATAAATTATAACCATGGAATATTAATCCTTAATGCTTTTATATTATATTCTTGCTCTGTCCTGTACATTGAGCTCTACCTGGATTCTATCGTCTTGGAAATTTATATATATATATATATATATATATATATATATATATATATATATATATATATATATATACTGCCCACTAATATTATTATTAGTTGAAAAGAATTTTATATTTTCAAATTCAATTAGTTTTTACATTGCCATAAGGCCATTCTTAAGACAATTTAGGAAGCGTAACTTAGACGTGGCACAAGGCTGAAATTATGGAGCACCCGATGAGGATCGAACTCATTACTCAGTCGTAATTAACATAACAATTCAAACTTGCTAACCATTACCACCACGTCGAAGTGCCCAAATGGCGATTTTCTAAGCTTAACTTGGATGTGGCACAAGGCCCTAAGTATGGACACCCATTGAGAATCAGTCTATTCTACTCAGTTGTAACGATATAAGAGCCCAGAAGGACATGATTATAAATGTTAATTATTTTGATGTAAGTCAGTACGCATTTGTAAGACAATCACGGCTCATAAGTTGATAATTCCCATGTTTTCCAAAGACATCTCAAATGACTAGATATGAAAGGGTGCTGATAAGTTCTCAACCAGATTTACTTTAAAAATTCTCACCAAATGCACAGACATCATTTTATGTTTTATTTATTTAGTTCTTCAAAGATTCTTGGCCGGAAATATAACTTTTTAACACTTCCTTGCAGATAGATAGATAGATAGATAGATAGATAGATAGATAGATAGATAGATAGATAGATAGATATGAACAGACTGAGATAGATAGATAGATAGATAGATAGATAGATAGATAGATATGAACAGACTGAGATAGATAGATAGATAGATAGATAGATAGATAGATAGATAGATAGATATGAACAGACAGAGATAGATAGATAGATAGATAGATAGATAAGGAACAGAGATAGATAGATAAATAGATAAGGAACAGAGATAGATAGATAGATAGATATAGATAGATAGATAGATAGATAGATAGATAGATAGATAGATAAAAAAAAAGGAGGCTATCCTTTATATATTGTATATATTAGACGTGGCGCCATATAAAACAAATTTCATCCTCTCATTTCTTGTTTCTTTTTGTTTGGGTTTGTATTTTTATTTTGTTTTGTTCTTTTTTGTTTTGTTTTTTTCATCAATTCTGAAATACAACATTAACAATTTCACTGCGGTATTTTTACAGCATTATTTTCTGGCTACGTTGGACCATTTTACGACAAATAGGAAATTGCTATTTACTGGAAATAATTGACTCTATACAATGCTGGTGCAAGGGTCTTGTGACCACCGAATCTATGATACAGGGCCCCCCCAACTCGACATCACAATTTTCATAAAGTAATATTTATATAAAATACAAATTTTATTATAGCCTAATTATGTACAATAATGGATCATATGCAATATAGATGAATAATTCAAGTAGAAAAATGGAAAATAAATGCAACGTATCTAAATGCAAATTAGAGACATGTCATAATAGTTCATTCCATCTTAAATAAATCAACAATGTTTTGCGGTAATTTTTACATGAGATTTAAAATGACATTTTTCTTGTTAAAAAGTTGAATAATTTCAACACATGCAACATAATGGATGAAAAATAATTAATTTTATATTGCCTTTTTTTCGAAACCGAGCATGCGCAAAACAAATTCAAGGATCTGGACAAAGAAACGCCCAGAATGACGTCAAAATCCGCGAAAATTGTTCATCCTTTTAATAGTCAGTTGTGGTTAGTTTAATTTGTAACGTATATAAATGTAGGTAGAAAAAAAAGCAAATGCTGATAAGATAACAAGAGCCACAAAGTATTGCCATGGGTACCCAAATATGCTTACGAGGTTGGGAGTTCAAGGGTACTATTTGCCGACCCAAAGATGATGACGACGTTTTCTCATGGGCACCAACATTTTGGTTTCACTCAGATACTCTACAGTACCGACTAATCTAAAAGACAGCTCAACACACAATATGATAAAAATACGTCCCCCAAAAATGTTGTATTCTATTATTTAAATAAAATGAACTTTAATGACAAAGATTAAATTTGAACAGGGGTGCTCTTGTTGACCATTTTTGTTTGAAATCTTTTCGGAAATTTGTAATGGTGTTTTCATCTACAAATGAATTTAAAAGCAAAGATCACATGAAGTGAAATGATTTCAAAATTATCATTTCAAGACAAGAACTTTACTCTCTAAGTTACCTCTCCTATCAGGATCGTGGTTTTTATTCAGCTTGCGTTTTGTATTGACATGATTGTTTTGGGAAAAGATAGGATAAACGTTGAGACAACGAGAGCGTTTTGCGTTCAATAGAAATAAAAAAATATAAGCATTTTTCTAAAGGATTCCTTTAAATATTTTTTCTACGCAGCAAATGATTTTTTTTAAATATATTAATAAACACAAAATGGAAATATTCAGACTTTTATAAACAGAGAATGAATGAATAACTCTCTTATAGACATGCTACATAAATCATTCCAATATGTCCTCGTCTCTTTTATGGTGTAACTAATTGCAATGGTAGTTATGTGCAGAAGAAAAAAAGCAAAATTTTAATATTCATTTCATATTAATAAGAAAGAAGAATATTAATTTTGGACTGTTTCCAGAAAAATCCATTCGATTAGAATCTTTTCTTTCTGAAGTGAATACAAACTAAAGAGAATTGGTTATCCTGTAGTGTATGAACTTTAGAAGCACGGATAAATGAATTTATTGATTAGTGAATAATATGAATGAATGAAAACCTCTTCGTCCAATGAAATTCTATAAAACGGACATTTTATTGACCCAAATATTCTTCGGCCGAACAACAAATTTGTCGACAAATACTGAGTGCACTTTTTATTAGTTTCAATTCAAGCATTCTTTGTGTTAATTGACTAAAACTATTTTATAGGTTCGACTTCAAAAACCGCATCGATTTATAAATATGACTCATAAAGCCTCATATATATATATATATATATATATATATATATATATATTATTGTTTAACTAAAACAATATGTGTGCGTTTATATATATATATTTATGTATATATATATATATATATATATATATATATATATATATACACAATTTCATGCACATACAGCCTTAAAAATATCAGCTGCAACTAGAACAAATACCTCATCGTATATATAACGCATTCAGGGATACAAACACTATAAAAATGTACTATAAAATGTTTCGTCAAGTACAATAACATGACTTCGAACAAGAGACGAAGTTGTGGAGAGCCATGATCACCTATTTAATGAGTTTGTGAAAATAGCAGATGAATTGGACACAGTCGGATGTTAAAGACTCGAAATTTATTTAGAGCAACAAAAGAGAAGAAGTTATGGAGAGCCATGATCACCTACTTAATGACTAAATGGTAAAAAGTCAAAAGTTACTCAATAACAGAAAGGAAGTTATGGAGAGCCATGATCACATGGTTAATGAGTTTGTGTGAAAGGACAACAGAACAGGGACAAATAGGAATGGTAAAGAATCATAAGTTATTTGTAACAACAAAAATGAAGCCGTGGAGAGTCATGATCAGTTACTTAATGAGTTTGTGCAAATGGATACCAGAACATGGACAAAGAAGGATGATAAAAACTCAAAAGTTTAGAACAACAAAAGAGAAGATGTCGTGGAGAGCTATAGGGAAAAAGTTTGATGACGAGGAGTCAAAAGTTAATTAGATCAACAAAAGGCAAGAAGTTGTGGAGAGCCATTATTTGTGTTAATTGACGGAAACAATTTTATACGTTCGACTACAAAAACCACTTCGATTTAGCTATATGAAATGATACATAAAACATTATATATATATATATATATATATATATATATATATATATATATATATATATATATATATATATAGAGAGAGAGAGAGAGAGAGAGAGAGAGAGAGAGAGAGATAGATATGTGTAAGTACGTAAAATTAGCCTTCCTCTCAACCGGTCGCTGATAGCTCAGGGTTAAAAATTTCCGACTGATGCCAAATCAGTCAGGTTTCGATACCGGCTTCAGGCAATCGGATGTCTAGCCACACTAATGAGCTTTGATACAGTCTCTCTGTAGATGATTATACATACTTTCGGCCTCGTGCCACATCTAAGCTAAGCTTAGAAAATCACTACACTCATTAAGCCCATGCGTCTTAGTGGCTTTAATGCCTTGCCTTGCTTGGGATGAAATGATTAAAATATGCTTCAAGAACCAGCTTTTAGTTAGCGTAGCCTTATAAATAACTATCAGAAGAGATTTATTTTCTCATAAGCAAATAGACACATGTAAACTTTTAATTCAAGCACACATACGCATACACGACGTAGGTGTGCTTAAATGTTTATTTGTGTCTATTTGCTTATGAGTCACGCTGACTTGAATCTTAGATCAAAGAAGCGAACTGCAGGCATGAACTCAGCATCAATTAGGAACTGCATAATCTGCACTTCTATTTCTTAACACCCTGTGGAAGGACTTTGCTCTTCGCAAAAACGTTGAAGCTGCGAAACCTGGACACTGAAAGCAGCCG